CATTATATAGTTTTGATATTAAGGTTTTATCATGATAGACACCGATTTAACTGCGGTGACACACAACATGCCTTTACGTTCACTTAAGACAATCAACTGTGTTTACGTGAATACTCGTCAAAACGGACTATTCGACATCCTTTTGTGTGTAGTTCTCTGTTCATGCGACACGAAAGAGTACTCGCGCGCTGTGCTTTCCGTGTGTGTATGCCGGAAACCGGACCGAACCGAATTGAGTTCGTCAGATTTATCCATATGTCTGCTCTTCTCTTACTCCCACATATTGACATTTTTAAACGTTCTATGAGACGTGCAATAGATTTTCATACATTTTTGTCATTCAAAAAGAGTTTTAGTTCCGTTATCATCGGTGAAAAAAATGCCGTTGACGAAAATTATTCGTCAACGAAATTAACACTGGTCTACACAGAGGTAAGATGAAATAAAATGTCGTCAAAACTTTTCTGAAGACAGCCAGTTCCCTTCATATAAACCCCACCTCCAATTCAGTATTTAGAACTTTCCTCTAATATTTTGAGCATTGCAAACAGTAGGGACCAGTATTTTCTCAGCTAGCACATCTGTTCCTCTCCTCTTTGCATTTGTCTTGTCCCGTCTCGGACCCCCATTATCCTGTTTACACAGTTCCTAACATATCCACACAAATGTCATTTTGGGAAATGATCACAGTGCAATTTGTGATCAAGTTCGGAACAGAGATTGTCCAAAATAAAACAAAAAACGTGGTTGCTTACTAAGTTACTACCGCTCTTTGGAGATATAAAGGATGCAATACTACTCTATAGGTACTCAAGATTAACATGAGATTGGGTGAAACTGTGTGTTATGTCCCCTTTAAACTGTCCAGTTGCTAAAATGGCTTTCTTACATCTTTTAGTAACTCAGTTTGCACTTAACTTGTCAAATATTGCAAAAATGGGCAGGAATTATTTGGCCCTGTCAACGCTTCATTTCGACTAGTGGTCTGATTCAGATCATCAGCTCATTAGTAGAGGCTCAAAGACCTGAAATGGTAGGCATGCTAAATGTCTAGTGCTGGAGGATCCTGGAACGTGGTTGGGAACCAATAAGGCCTTTCGCACCGCAGGAACCTTTTCATAGTACCAGAACTAATTGTGGAACTACCCACTTTTTGGCATTTTCGCACCGCCGGAACTGGGTGCGATTTTAGTACCGGACTGCCTTTTTCGAGAATCAAATTAGCTCCTACTCCGGAGCAGGGTCTAACCAGCACAACTGGTACTAATCGTGACGTAAGTAGACATTGATTGGCCAAACGCGTATGAAACCGCCCTCCCCCGCCATGAATTAAAACGCCGTGTAAACATACTGTAAACATTGTTGTCAACTTATTTCGCAAGTATGGAGAACAGC